AGGTACTAAATCCCAAGTCTTATTAGCAATGAGAGCATTAAATTCTTCGGCCATAGCCTTCCGCCATTTTAAACATTTATTAGCTTGAGAAAAACAAGTCGGGTCAGGGGGCATTCCACAGAGGTAAGGGATAAAATGGTTTTGGGTTTATAGATGCCATCCTTGGATCGGGTTCGCATAGGGTGAATATTATGGACAGGTGGAGGACTGGACTGTGTGGGCGTGGGCTGGGAACTGACAGCGGGATTAGAATAAGGGCTGGGTGGCAAACTGGATATATTGGTCGAAGTGGGAGAGGAAGGAGGGGTGTGGTCTGGACTAGGTACCGAGGTGTGGACTGGACTGGACATCGAGTGTGACACTTCAAAAAATTTAAAAAAAAAATATATATAATAATTTTTAGTCAGATAAAATATTACGAAAATAACATTTTAATTATTAATTAAGTCAGACAAAAATTCAACAGTGTAAAATTCTAAACAGATAAAATTTCAAAATTTATGACGTTTTAGTCAGATAAAAATATTTCAGTAATAGGAACAACACTTTATTAAACAAGTAAACCAGACAGAAAATTGCCAAGTTTACGACTTTTTAATCAGATAAAAATGGCCCGATAATAGAAGTTATGTTTTAGCATAAAATTAATTTTTATATAACTATTTTAGGTTGTATAATATACAAAGTATAAACTAAATAATTAAAATAATCATAATATATATATATATATATATATATATATATATATATATATATATATATATACACGTACGTAGTAATAGTAGTATAATCTAGTATAACCTACATATATATATATACTAAACCTACGTATAACCTAGTATATAATTAAATATATAATAAGTATACTCCTATTATAATACTTATACATAATAATACTCCCAATATTATATTTCTTGGCCGGCAAAACAAACCAATTCAACTCCAACTTCAACTCCAACCCCAACTCTAATATCTCAGCCTAAAACCCTCATCTTTCCCTATAAATAATAGGCCAGAGCCTACGTTTTCTTCATCCCAAAAAACTAAGAAATATACAAATATACGTATATATATATATATTTTTGCGACCCAGCGTTTTAGCCAGAACCAAGCCTTGAAAATACTTCCCAAACCTTCCCCTTCGTGATACGAATCCAACGGAAAAAGAATCATCGAAATCGGTCGTGAAACGAGGGAGAAAAGCCTCGCCGGAGTTTCGCCGGGGAAAAACATTCCGACGGAAAACGGAGAAAAGGGAGGAGCTGCCGCCGCCGCCGGACCACCACTGACCTTCGCCGCCCTGCTACCACCATTTTCGGCCGTTCGCTCGTCCAAACGAAGTAAGTTCTACCCCCCCCCCCCCCCCCCCCCCTGTTTTTCCCGTTTTCCGGCGAAGCAGCGAGGAAGAAGAAGACCTGCTGTCTTGGGCCTGATTGTTTTGGGCCAGAATAATTTAATTTGGGCCAGTTCGGCCCAGTTTCAATAAAAATTAAAAATAAAATAGTAAATGAAATAAATAAAATCTGGAAAAATATAAATTAAATACCTAGTATAAATATACATATTCGGACCAACCAGAATTGGAAAATAATATTTTTAGCTATTTGTAATGGATTTAATGGTAATTGGGCCAATTTAAACACATTTAGTAAATAATTAACTAAATAAAGAAAATAATTATGAAATAAATATTGGAGTAAACTAGGATAAATATATGACTAACTAGGACCTTATGAACCATTTATAATTAATAAAAATAAGGTTTAGTATATTTAATTGTAATTAAACCGGTTAATAGATATATGAAATTAAAGGAATAATTATGGAAAAATAAGTATAAAATAGATATCTGGACAACCTAGGTGAAATATAGACCCAAAATATAGTTATGGACGGTTTTTAATTTATAAAGTCAATTCTTAGTCTATTTATTTAAATTAGGTCATATAAAACTAGTTAAGTAATTAAATAAGGAAATATTAATATTAATAGTGATTATTGAATAAAAATTGGATGTTGTAGTCAATTATATTCAGATATTTTATTTCAAATATTGAAAATTTATGGATAAAATTATTAAGGTAATTTTATTAATAGAAAGTGAGTAATCAAATAAATTCGGATAATTAATAAATTAAGTTAATAAATTCGAATAATAAAATAAAAGGAGAAAATCGGGTAAAGTAATTACAAATAGAATAAGTGACTAATTTTATCATATTTAATTAAAAAGGTGATTATCTAGAGACCGGATTAGAGGAGGATAACTAGGAGCAACAGGACTTAAGGTAAGTTTCTCTGCCAATCCAAAATTGTTTCCTCGTATTATATGCTTATTATGCATTATGTGATTAAGTGTGATTTGTGAATTTTGTGTATGTGATTTTGAGAAGATATTATATATATGGTAGTTAAGAAGTATAAATCAAGAACTTTTGGGGTATTAAATATTTTTAAACACCTTTGAGACTTTTTAGAGAAATTAAGAAGTATTTTTGAAGTATTGTTAAGCAAAGATAAAATTTACATTTTCATAAGAAGATAGCATCTCGGGAGTAATCCGAGGTGTCGGTTTTTCCACATCCGGATAAATGTGGAGGGTGATTAGAGCTACTACTACTAAGAAGTACAGTTTGGATCTATGTTCCCTTTTAAGTAAGATTTTGATCTATGATCCCTTTTAAAGTGAGATTTGGATCTATGATCCCTTTTAAGAAGAAGTTATAGTAGTAGTCCCTAATCATTCAAGAATTTTAGAATTTGGGGTGGTTGGGTTCCGACCACTCGGGATGACTTACTACTCGGAGGGCTTGGAATCCCTTTTAGGGGGTGTGCACACTTAAGGTAGTCGTTTCGTTTCCAACAGAGCAGTTGTGGTACCGGCACTTGTTCGGGGTGGCCGTCCGTAACCACGGTCCACCGGGCTCTATCGAAAGGTTGAGCACCGCCCTTCTAAATTACTAGGAAGTTAGAGAAGAAGTGATTTTCTTAAGAAGTTTAAAGAGAAGAAATACTAAGATATTTTCGAAGAGAAGTTGAGGATTTTAGTAAAGAAGTAATTTTAAGAAAAATCAAAGAGAAAAGTATTTTGGTGGAGTGCGTCATTTTTATATGATATTATATAAAAATCTATTTTAGTCAAACCTGATTATTTTACGGGGTTGGGTAGTACTTACTTAGCTCTAAAGCTAATTTTTGTTATTTCTCTTGTCTCTCTCTTCTCCCTTAAATTTTATCAGGTGATGAGTTGGATACCTATGTGGATTGACGGATTGCTCGAGCTTGAGTGCGAATTAGAAGATGCCTTAGTTAAATCTAGTCATAAATCAAACATTTACTTATTATTACATTAGTTTTTATTGATTTACTTTGAGTTGCCTGTGCATTCGGTTAAGAGATGACCGAATGTGGCGGTAACACTCATTTCCCTTTTAGACTTCCGCTGTATTTCTTCAACTCTTTGATGAATGAATAAAGTATTTCTTTTAAATATATCAATGTTTTGGGCGGGAAATTTGGGGGTGTTACATCGAGGTAGGGGCTGGAGTGGCCGAGAGGGTTGTGGACAAGGGAGTAGATGGAGTAGATGGCAATTTACTGGTTATTGTAGGGGACTGTGCAGTTGAAGGGATAAGTGGTGGAGCTACATTAGTAGGATAAGATGTAAAGGAGAGAGAATATTGAGGTGAAGAGGGTGGAGGGGTGGAGGGACAAGCTGAAAGTGTAGGAAACGGAAAAATAGTTTCATGAAAAATGACATCCTGACTAATATACACGCGACCAGTGGTAGAATCAAGACAACGGTAACCCTTGTACCCCGGTACATACCCAATAAAAACACAAGGAATAGATCGTGGTGATAGCTTATTACCCGAGGTGGCAACTTTATTATGAAAACATGCACAACCAAACACACGTAAAAAAGAATAGTCAGGAGATTTTTGAAAAAGTTTTTGAAACGGACTGAGACCCTGCAAAGTTGGCGTGGGAAGGCGATTAATAATATACGTAGCAGTGTAAAGTGCATCAACCTAAAAGGACGGGGGTATATGTGCATCAATAAGCATAGTACGTGTTAATTCTAAAAGATGACGGTGTTTGCGTTCAGCCACGCCATTCTGAGCAGGAGTATCAGGACAAGATTTTTGAAATAAAATGCCACACTGAAGAAAATGATTATTAAAGTGGTGATTATTAAATTCACCCCCACCATCACTTTGAAAACATTTAATTTTACAACCTAAGAGATTTTCTGATAGTTTCTGAAAAATTGCAAAAATGAGTAAAAACTCCGGACTTTCGATGCATGGGATATACCCAAGTAAATCGTGAAAAATCATTAATGAAACAAACGTAATATTTATATCCAAGGTGAGATAAAACAGGGGAATGTCAAACGTCTGAATGAATTAATTGTAAAGGGGCAGTAGTATGTAAAATGTCTTGAAAAGGTAAGCGATGGATTTACCCAGTTTACATGAAGTACATAAATTATGAGAAGTACTGGAAGAAAAAATAGAGTTTGTGCGCCGAAGAGTAGACAATATGCTATCACCACAATGACCTAAGCGCTTGTTGCATATCGGACCAGGTGCAGTAGCAGTAAAAAGGGCCAAGGATGGAGTGAAAACGGTGAAGGGATAAGTCCGGTCCTTATTAGAAGCGTGGAGTAGTGTTGCCCCCGTGCGATTGTCCTTTACAGAGAAAAAAGATTTGTTAAAAATAGCAGTGCAATCATTATCCTCACATAGCTTCTGAATAGATAGTAAATTAAATTTTAGGTGAGGAACGTGATACATAGATTTTAAAATAAGTGGGCGGCCGAATGAAGGTAAATGAACATTACCAATAGTAGACACGGATAAATTAGTACCATTAGCGACCTGCACATTAGTGGGGCTAGTAACAGTGAATTTAGAGTGTAAAATACCTTCATTTGGCGTCATGTGAGCGGAGGCACCAGAATCTGGATACCATGTCGCTTCATTGGTCTCACCGGTTGGTAAAGCAGCAAGGGCCGGAGTAGAAGCCGAGTGAAGTTTGGAACAAGTTATGGCGGAATGACCCGGAGTGAAACACAATTGACAAATAACAAGGGGCGGAGGGGAAGCATAAGTGTGATCAACTGATGGAAAATATGCACTGTTAGTGTGAGTACCACAAGTATAATATGGAGACAAACAATAATTTACCGGACAGACATTACCCATACCTGCACTGGAAGCTCCTGAAGGGAAAGATGCATGGGGTCCCATATAGTGAAGCTCATATCCACGGGGATATAACTGATGACCAGGGGTACCGGGGTATCCATACACTCTGCCACGTCCCCGGTGACCCCGCTGACCACGCTGGCCGCGACCTCCGCGTCCTCCTATCGGTGGTGCTCCGCCTCGGCCAGAATACTGCTGCTGCGGATGGGACTGCTGGGTGGAAGCAGCTGGTGCAGGGGCAGCAAACGCCTGGTGCTGCGTTACAGAATCACCCATCCCACGCATGTACTGCAATTGTTGTTCTTGGAGATTAAGGACAGGACCCAGCTGATCAAAAGTAAATGTGGGGGGCATGTAGGCTAATCCACCTAGTATAGATTCATAATCTGGGCCCAGGCCTAAGAGAGCGTATTGAATAAGATCCTTATCACTGACGGGAGATTTAATTAAGGCCAGGGAATCAGCAACAACTTTAATCTCCGGAAGATATTGATCCATTGTTTGATTTGCCTTCTTCTTGATATTAGAGAGTTGGCGCTTAATTTTCATGGAGCGGGCAATGCAAGCGGACATAAATTTATTGCGAAGACGATCCCGAATTTGAAAAGAAAATTTAAGGTCATGCACATTAATCAAAATATCGCGGGAAAGAGTGGCGAAAAGCCATGAACGGATCGTTTGATCTATTTTCAACCAATGTTGATAATCAGGATTAATAACTCCCCTGTGAGAAACATCCATAATATATGGCGTAGGAATAGAAATAGAGCCATCCAACACACCCAAAAACTGTGAGATACCAAAAAGGATTCAAATTGTGTTTTCCACGGTAAATAATCTTCAACGAATGCCAACCGAGTAGTAACTATATTTGTAACATTCAGGGTGGAGAATGTCAACTGGGAGGCCATAATAGATAGATAGGAGGAAGAATTACCAGGTCCAGATGGAATAATATGCTGCGTGGACGGACTGATGTCAAACTGCCGGGTGAAGACCGGTGATGAAACCTGAGGCGAACTACCGGTGTGCAGAAGGGACTGAGGTGCTGACACGGTAATTGTGGGCTCCCACGTAAATGGTTCAGGCATCTGAAACAAGGAATAAGAGGACACATGTGGGCTGTTGGAACTGTAAATCGCCGAAGAGGGGATCGTTGTCTGCTCCTGCATGAACAATGGCATGGGGCGACTGGCGTGGGGCTGCTCCTTCTGAGATGAAGCGGGCGCCTGGGATGAAGCTGCTGATACACCATGTAGTGGGACACTGCCTGCACCGAAGGAAGAAGAAGGTGCGGCTGAAGTGGTGTCCATGGCGGAAGACATTAGGGTTTAGGTGTTGAAAGTGATCAAGTTCAACATACATAGTGCAGTTGCAGACGTGGAGAAATTTTTTGATATTACCTTAATATTATGTTTGAATAAGTCTTGTTTTGTTAGCTATTAATTAGGGAATAGTTGGAGCAGTTTGTTTCTATTCTTTGCACGTTCAAACACTTAGCTACATTATAGGATCTGATTAGTTTGCTTTGTATGGCTAATATTCACTTTGTAAAGGCTATATAAAGCCCACATCAGTTCATACGAAATATATGTTGAGTTGTGCTCCATTCTGCTTTGCATATTTGTAGTATATTAGTGTGTTCATTTACAGCTATAAGCTGACATTTGGTATCAGAGCTACAGGCCGATCCTTTGGCCTTTGAGAGAGTTTTTTGTTAAGAGTTTAGATCTGTGAGTGACTAATCAAAACAGGAGTGAGTTTAGAACCAAAAAAATACTACAAATAATACAAGATGCAAAGCAATGGAATGGGTATCAATGCAAATCAGCTCCCTCTATTCAAGGGAGTGAATTATCACTTTTGGAGTTTAAAGATGAAAACACTCTTTAAATCCCAGGAGTTGTGGAGCATTGTAGAGGATGGCTTCGTTGATGATCAACAAGAAGATCCTGATCAACTGCTCAGAGACAAAAGAAAGAAGGACGCAAAAGCCCTTTATCTCATCCAACAAGGGCTAGATGACATGGTGTTCCCTCGAATTGCAGCTGCATCCACCTCCAAAGAAGCATGGACCATCCTGAAACAGGAGTACCTAGGAGACAAAAAGGTAATCCAAGTGAGGTTGCAATCATTAAGAAGAGAATTGGAGGCAACAAAGATGAAGGACAAGGAAACTGTGCAGGATTACCTTTCCAGAATAACCACAACTGTGCAGCAGATGAAGACATATGGGGAAGACATTGACTCTCAACAAGTTGTAAGTAAGGTTATGAGAAGTCTAACATCCAAGTTTGGGCAATTGGTGACTGCAATAGAGGAATCCAAGGATATGGAAACCTATACCTTTGAAGAGCTCAAAGGATCTCTTCAGGCATATGAAGAAAGACACAGAGGTGAGGCTGAAAAGAATGAAGAACAAGCTTTTCAAGCCCAGAGTGAATCAACAAATGATCAAGCCTTCCAGTACCCAAATAGGGGAAGAGGAAGAGGTAGGGGAGGCTTCAGAGGTGGTCATGGTGGAAGAGGCAGAGGAAGAGGTTCCTCCAGCCATGGAGGAAGACAAGGCAATTCTAAACCTCCTATTAAATGTTACTATTGTAACAAGAATGGTCATAAGGAAGCAGAATGCTGGAGAAAGAATCCAGATCTTGCCCCCAAGAGAGAAGAAAACAGGTCTAACTATGTTGAACAAGAACAAGAACAACTGTTTTTGGCTCAACATACTTCAGACCTCAATGCAGAAACAGTTTGGTATATTGATAGTGGTTGTTCTAACCACATGTCTGGATCCAAGGATATGTTCCAGGACATTGATGACACAAGAAAAGGTGTTGTCAGATTGGGTGATGGCAAGCAGCTTACAGTTGAAGGACTTGGAACCATTTCAGTACACACTGAAGAAGGGAAGAAGAAACTCTTGTCCAATGTACAATATGTGCCACAATTAGCCCACAATCTGCTTAGTGTTGGACAACTTGTGAGTGGTGGCTACTCAGTGACTTTTGAAAATGGAATGTGTGCTATTAAAGATGGAAGCACTGATGAAGGATTGTTGAAAGCTGGAATGGGAAAGAACAAGCTGTTTCCATTAGATCTATCCATACACTGTGGAAGAGCTCTTGTTGTCAAAGGAGAAGATAATGCCAAATTGTGGCATTTGAGGTATGGACATCTTAATATACACAGTTTACAGCTTCTCAGTTCTAGGGGATTTGTAAGAGGTCTCCCTAGAATTGGTGAACTTGAATTATGTGAAGGGTGTATATATGGAAAACAGTCTCGAGGGTCATTTCCTATTGGAGAGTCATGGAGAGCCACTGATTGTCTTGAGCTGCTCCATGCTGACCTATGTGGTCCAATGGAAACTGAATCACTAGGGGGTAGCAAGTACTTTCTTATGATTACTGATGACTGTAGTAGAATGTCTTGGGTCTACTTTCAAAAGACCAAATCAGAAGCTTTTGATAACTTTAAAAAGTTTAAGGCTTTAGTTGAAAAACAAAGTGGAAAACTAGTAAAAGCACTTAGAACTGATAGAGGAGGGGAGTTTTGTTCCAATGCTTTTACAGAGTTTTGTGATGAGCAAGGAATCAGAAGGGAATTTACAGCCCCATACACCCCAGAGCAGAATGGGGTGGCTGAAAGGAAGAATAGGACTGTTGTTGAGATGGCAAGAAGTATGCTAAAAGCCAAGGGTCTGCCAAATCAGTTTTGGGGTGAGGCAGTATCCACAGCTGTATACATTCTTAACATCTCACCAACAAAAGCAGTCCAAAATTCAACACCATTTGAAGTATGGAGGATGAAGAAACCATCAGTGGGTCATATGAAGATATTTGGATGCATAGCATACACCCTTGTAAATTTGAGAACCAAGTTAGATGACAAAGCTGACAAATGCATTTTTGTTGGCTACTCAACACAGTCAAAAGCTTACAGATTGTATGATCCTCTTACTGATAAGATTATTATTAGTAGGAATGTCATATTTGATGAAGATGCAGCATGGGACTGGAAGACTGAAAATCAGAACGAGGAAGAAACACAAAGGTTTATCAGTTTTGACACTGCTACAGATCCTGACCAGACTCCAGTGCAGACTCCAATCTCAAGTCCCTCAGCTTCAACTACCTCTTCTCCTCCAACTACACCATTGAATCCACATTCTCATACCACTGATGGCACCCAGGATTCAGATAGTTCTTCCAGTGAACTGCCAAGAAAAGTAAGATCCTTAATTGATATCTATGATTCATGTTCATTTGCTCTTGTTGTCACAGAACCTAGTAATTATGAGGAAGCTGCTACTCATACTGAATGGACACAAGCTATGGAAGAAGAGATTAAAGCCATAGAAAAGAATCAGACATGGGATCTTGTTACACTACCTAGGGATAGGAGTGTAATAGGACTGAAATGGGTATACAAAACCAAATATAACTCTGATGGAAGTATCTCAAAACACAAGGCACGACTGGTAGCAAAAGGGTATGCTCAGCAAGAGGGTATTGACTATGAAGAAACTTTCTCACCTGTGGCCAGATTTGAAACTGTGAGGATAGTGTTGGCATTAGCAGCTCAATGGAAACTGCCTGTTTATCAGTTAGATGTAAAATCAGCTTTCCTCAATGGTGACCTACTTGAGGATGTATTTGTAGAGCAACCAGTTGGCTTTGTGAAGAAAGGGGAGGAAGATAATGTCTACAAACTCAAAAAGGCTCTATATGGTTTGAAACAGGCCCCAAGGGCATGGTACGACAAAATTGACTCTTTCTTTATTGGGACTGGCTTTGTACGAAGTGATAATGAACCTACTTTGTATGTAAAGAAAGAAGGTATGCATGAGTTCATTATAGTATGCTTATATGTTGATGACATTATCTACTTTAGTTCTTCCCAAAGCATGCTAGATTCTTTCAAGGGCTCAATGACACAACAATTTGAGATGACTGATTTGGGGCTGCTCCAATACTTTCTGGGACTGGAGGTCAAGCAAGGTATTGATGGGACTTTTCTTTGCCAAAAGAGGTATGCCTTAAATTTACTCAAACGGTTTCATATGGTGGACTATGAGACTGTCAAGACGCCTATGAATACTAATGAGAAGTTACAAAAGTGTGATGGAACTGAAGAAGCAGATGCTAGGCTGTATAGAAGTTTGGTAGGTGGGTTGAACTATCTTACTCATTCTCGGCCTGATCTAGCTTATTGTGTTAGCATTGTATCAAGGTATATGCAGAGTCCAACCAGGCAGCATCTTGGTGCAGCAAGAAGGATTCTGAAATATGTAGCTGGAACATTGGAGTATGGTTTATGGTATTGCAGTGTGAAGGATTGCAAACTGAGAGGCTACACAGATAGCGACTGGGCTGGGTGTATTGATGATAGAAAGAGTACATCCGGTTCTGTGTTTGACATAGGTTCTGGAGCCATAACTTGGAGTTCAAAGAAGCAGGAAACAGTTGCATTGTCCTCTTCAGAAGCAGAATATGTAGCTGCAGGGGCTGCAGCCAAGCAGGCTCTATGGATTGGGAAACTATTGAAGGATTTGGGTTGCAAACAGTCTAATGAACTTGAGCTATGGTGTGACAACAAATCAGCCATAGCAATGGCAAGAAATCCAGCCTATCATTCACGAACAAAACATATAGATGTGCAATATCACTTTATTAGGCAGCTTGTGGCAGAAGGAAGAATCTGGCTTCAGTATTGTGGAACTGAATGGCAGAATGCAGATTTGTTTACTAAAGCTCTAAACCATGTGAAGCATTATCATTTTATGAAGAGAATTGGAATGTGTGAACTTGGATCAAGGGGTGGTGTTGAAAGTGATCAAGTTCAACATACATAGTGCAGTTGCAGACGTGGAGAAATTTTTTGATATTACCTTAATATTATGTTTGAATAAGTCTTGTTTTGTTAGCTATTAATTAGGGAATAGTTGGAGCAGTTTGTTTCTATTCTTTGCACGTTCAAACACTTAGCTACATTATAGGATCTGATTAGTTTGCTTTGTATGGCTAATATTCACTTTGTAAAGGCTATATAAAGCCCACATCAGTTCATACGAAATATATGTTGAGTTGTGCTCCATTCTGCTTTGCATATTTGTAGTATATTAGTGTGTTCATTTACAGCTATAAGCTGACATTAGGAACGTAAAACCTTAGTCGCTAATACCATATGAGAATTATGAGAGAATGACTTACCCTAGTGGTAGCCTTAGACGTGTATATATAATAATCTCAGAATAACTAATTACAAAAGTATCCCTACACTATTATCTATTAATTGTGTCTGGCTTCCTAACAAAAAAAAAACACCGGAATAAAGGGAATGCCCATGCGTGGATGTCCTTCATTTGGAGAGCCTATATACCTCTCAAATTTTCGTTCATAATGTGGTTAGCCTACCGGAATAGACTACCTACTTATGACAACATGGTTTATCTTGACATTGTTAATATATGTCCCTTTTGTAAGGGTGGTCCGGAGACGGTACCACACCTATTTTTTGAATGTGTTTGTACAGGTCAGGTTTGGAAAAGTGTGAAGGAGTGGATCGGCATCTCGAGGCAAATGTCAACACTAAGGAGTGCGGTGAAATGGATCCAAAGAGAATGCAATGGAGCAAACATTAGGGCAAAGGCTACGAGGATAGCTTTTAGCTACACAATCTATTGGATATGGAGAACCAGGAATGCACTTCGTTTTGATGGAGCCACACTAAAGATGGAAGACATGCTACCACATATCAAGTATATGGTGTATAAAGTGCTCTACTCTATATATCCGTATCATATGATTCCATTTTGAACTAAACACTAGCCTTATTTTTGTCATAAGATTGATGGCTATTTTTGCTAGAGGATAGATGTTAGATTTTGAGCTTAGACAGCTTATGATGCTATAGGATATCCATACTTGGATATGCCTCAAATTTTGCTCACATGATGTACATAAACATTGGCTACTATCTATATATATTTACATTTCCCAAAAAAAAAAAACACATTACGAATTAGGATAAAGAAAATAGAAATACTAGCCGATCCATGCGAAACCCTATATTTTAGGGTGCCGACCTCAGCTCCTGCGGAATTTTACTTGATAGAGGATACTCCGTAGGTATATATAGGTGTAGTCATTACAGCGAATGTCATCTTCCACCATTCATTGATTATAAACCATTAATTCACTCCCCGAATCTTCACAAGATGAGTGATATTAGGGTTAGAAGTATGAGGTTTGAGACAGTGATGGACCCATGCATGGGCCTACTCGTAGTCCGGATGATGGCCGGAACAGCCGTGCTGGAGCAGCCACCGCTACATGACGCTACCTTCATCACCTTCAATCCTCTCCTTGATTTGCCGTCACTCGGAGAAAGGGTTTCCTCTCTACTCTCCGCCGACTTCGGCATAGATCGTCAAAGGAGCGACCCCATCGGTCTTCAGGCAGCTACTGCCGCCCTCGATGAACTTGACGGTGACAGCCATTACGGACTACGGGGAGAGGTGGTGCTAGAGGCGGTGCATCATGAAGTCGGCGGTGATAAAATGGAGCTGTTGGGTTTGATGGAAGAAGTTTTTGACGGCGAAGGCGGCGGAGAAACATGCAGCGTGTGTTTGGAAGGGTTCTGCAAGGGGGCCATGATCACTCCGTTGACGCCGTGTTCGCATAGATTTCATAACAAATGCATCCTTCAATGGCTCAGCAGAAGCCAAACGTGCCCTCTCTGCCGAAGCACCATACATATTATTCATTATTAATTAGAACCATTTTAATGTGTCCTCCCAATATTTGATTTGTTAATTAGATTAATCAAATACTGTATTCCTCGTGCATACAGTAAAACAAAACTCGATCCAGAAGCTAATTAAGTCGGAGTATTATATGGTCAAATACTGTATTTAATTTGAGTCCGCTTCCTACTTTCAATGTACGGTGGTTTGAGTGAGTTCTTGTTTGATGTTGTGAAAGTTTGAATTCAGGAATCAAAGGAAGAAGACGATTTCGTATGTTCAGAGCCTTTTGATGAAGAATGCGGAAGAAGAAAAAATGAATAGAAGTGAATGCTTTTCCTAATTTCAACAAAACTGTAGGTATTTATACCTAATACATAAAAATAACAACATATAACTAAAGGCCAAATAAAATATAAGATAGGCCCAAAAGCTGTAGAAAAACAGTCCAATGCAAGCCAAACAGTCCAGTGTTTTATTCTTGATATGCCCCCTCAAGATGAGCGTGAATGTCTTGCATGTTCATCTTGACTGCAAATTGACTAAACAAGGTATTTCCAAGTGGTTTTGTGTATATATCTGCAAGTTGAAAACTATTTTTAATATGAAGCAGTGTAATTAATCCAGAATTAATCTTTTCTCTAACTAAATGGCAATCCAATTCTATATGTTTTGTTCTTTGATGTTGTATTGGATTATGAGCAAGATGGTAAGTAGATTTATTGTCAGTATAAATAAGTATAGGTAAAGAAATAGGTATATGTAAATCAGTAAAAATGTAAGATAACCATTGAGCCTCACAAACTACATTAGCAGCAGCCCTATACTCAGCTTCAGTAGAGGATCTACTGACAACTTGTTGCTTTTTAGATTTCCAAGAAATTAAAGAGTTACCAAGGTAAAAGGCATAACCTGAAACACTTCTCCTAGTATCTATACAAGCAGCCCAGTCAGAATCAGTGTATCCTTGAATGGAAAAGTCAGAAGTGCATGGGTAAAATAAACCTTTACCTGGTGAATTTTTAAGGTATCTCAAAACTCTATGAGCTGCACTTAAATGAACATTAGTGGGAGAAGCAAGAAATTGACTAAGAACTTGTACACTATAAGCAATATCAGGCCTAGTTACAGTTAAATAAAGCAACTTACCAATTAAAGTTCTATAAATTTTAGGATTTTCTAAAACATTTCCATCATTTTTAGATAATTTAATTTTTGAGTCCATGGGAGTAGTATAAGGTTTAGAATGAAGATATCCATATTCAGTTAGAATGTCTAAAGTGTATTTTCTTTTACACAAATTTATGCCTTTATCAGATCTAGCAATTTCAATTCCTAAAATGTATTTTAATTCACCAATATCTTTAATAGTAAATTTGTTGTTTAATTTAGCAGCTTGTTTATAAGTTTTAGGTTCAATTATTTTGGAAAGAGCAGCAGTAAAACAAGAATGAGAATGTCTTAGTCTATTATAGGTTATATGATTTTGAATAGGATATCTAACAAGATTACAAAAATTAGAAGAAGAGGTACCTGTAATGATGGAGTTAGGTAAGTCATAACTGTAATCTTGAAGATGTATGGGAAGAGATCTTACTCTGGTGGATTTTCGTTGTGATTGGTCTTCTGAAACAGTATCATTGTTAGAAGTAAGGTCATTTGTATTCATAGTATTGAATTTTTCATTGACCTGATCTTCTAAATAGTGATTAGAAGGTGTGTGATATTTATAAGTGTAATCATTAGTATTAGAAGAATCTAATACAGAGTCAGAATTAATAGAATTACCATTAGAAGGATCAACATTACATTTATAAGGAAAAATCATTTCATAGAATTCACTACAAGAATTTTGACAAAATATGACAAAAAAAATTGTCATATAAACTTCAAATTTTGTCACTAAAACTTTTAGACGACGAGTTATGATGGTCACATAGATCGTCATCGTAGCTCCGTGGCAAAATGTATAACATGACACTTTTTAAATTCGTCATTATATAACAATTATTTGTGACACTTCTGATCTTTGTCATGCCTATTTGTCACTTTTAATGACGCTAAATTTGTCACTATTACATCTTTACTTTTGTCATCTAAATATAAAATTCGTCATCTATAGCTAATGCAATAAGTGACAAATTTGTTAATTGTCATCAAAATGTAACATATTGTGACAATTGAATACTACGCCCAAAATCAATTAATTATAGAGACAATAAATTGTCACATTTAATATATTACTTGTTACGTCATTAATTATAGTTATTTTAGTTATAATTTTTTCATCGCATATAAGTTTTAACAATGACAATAAAAAGTTTTAGTCAACAAAATATTGTACAACGTGACAGGATTAGTTGCCATCATCGTACATAAATTTCTCCGCTTTAAATATATCGGAGTATATAATTAAAATGTATCACAATTTACTATGTAACCACATGATTAGCAGCAAATATGTCATTGTCACTCGTTAATGCAAATCTGAGGCACATGAATATCATTACTGCTATTTCATTATAACCTGTCGTTGCGGCTCAAGTTCTAAGACAAGCCTATTTTACAGAAAATGTAACTTACAAAAAATAAAAGATGGTTTGTATAACCATGCAAATTATTTTACAACCTTCTGAAAGAATTAATACAGTATAGTGATGTGAAAACAACTTTAATTTAAAAGAAGCCTAGTTGAGATGACAATAACGTCCTTCTAGGGTGGAGGTAACACACTCTAGCTCCTCAATGACGAAAAAATTTATGTCTTTCTCTGGTCATCTTCTTAACTGGCAGAGGTTACTCTAATGAAAAGACTTCCAAAGCACAACTGCAATAGCTATGAATACAGTTTCTGCCTTCTATGGCTACAAAATTAGCATTGTAAAGAAGGGAAAATATTATGAACTCATCAAAACATTTAACAAGTTATCAAATAGAAAATGTAGTTTATAATGATATAGCAGATTATTAAAGGCCTTGAACAAGAAAAATAAGGGAAAATTAAAGTACATGTCAAGCCATCTCATACCTTTTCACTATGTCAAATAACAATCCACTGATTTGAAAGAATACAAGATGTAGTTACAGTATTTATCTTAAGAAAAGGAATCCTGCCATTTCTAAATTACAGTACAAAACAAAAAAAAAGCAAAACAAACATGAGTTTAGCAACATCAGTTCCAGGTGTTAGCTGCATTAAAGAAAACGTGAGCACCAAAGAAGCCTTGATACTTTACAAATCAACATAAAAAGTAACAAGAATCAGATATCTTGCTACCAAACAGAAATTCATTAATAATTTCTCATTCACTGAACTAGAAGACAAAACATGACATTTCCTCCAACAATTATGT